CTATACAAATATACATACATATATACATATATACATATATATATCCGTGTCTTTCATGTGTGTACTTAGTCCTATACAAACATAAAATATACGCTCAGATACTACGCGTATACTTACCAAGATAACGTCGTGCTCTGAGCCCATGTTGGTGATGGTTGTGTGTGCAATTGTCAGCTGAGTGGTGAGAGTAGCAGTCGACTCCTTCAATGCGCTGTAGTCCGATTGGAGCGCCTGCACAAGAAAATGGGGTCAAAAATGTGTCCCGTTTGTGTGACGTTTTAGTGAAACGGTAACGGAAACGTAAACATACACACACACAGATACATTCTTGACACATACTCGCACACATGCAAACTCGTTTCTTTAAAGCCATAGCCACGGAAACTATTGAACATATGCACATAAGCACATGCACGTTGAATAATAAAACAGATGTAAGTATACGTAAAAGTACGTTGTACCTTAAAATTGATGTAAACATACGTACATGTACGTTAAATAATAAAACAGATGTAAAAATACGTGCAAGTACTCAAGGTTATACACATGCACGGGAATATCCACTCATACACACAATCACATCTACAAAGAAAAACACATAACAAACAAGAACACACACACACACAAGTACACACAATCGCATACATACACATACATACACATATACACATACACAAACACACACATACAAACACATACACAATGAATACACCCACCCACACACGCACAGACACTTGCCTTGATACGCACTAGTTGGGCCTCTTGTGTTGCCTGTGCCGTGGCTGCGGCTGCGCTGAGCTCATTCACTTTGTTCTCCGCAAGGGCTCTGTTTGCTTTCTCCGTCTCAAGCCTAAGGGAGGAGATTGGCGGGATTTGATTGGATGGTATTAATAGATTTATCTCATGGTTCGAGGGTAAAACAAACATTTGTCATACAGTAAATAAATTTGCGTACAGAACTAGCCGCACAGAACTATTGGCATTAAACGTACTCTTATTCAGGGTTTTAGGGTTCTTAAACGTACTTCTTAAAGATATAGATATAGATATAGATATATGTATATATATATATATATATATATATATATATTATAGTAATATACTATTCTACTAACTAT